GGTACAGCACGGGGTGTCCCAACGTAATGTGACAAGGATTGTAGGTAAACATTAGGTATAACGGCGGGGCTCTCGTGCTCGCGAAACACAAGCAGCCGGGCACTATGGATAATAAAATTTGGTTATCTATGCATTCAAGAAATTTTAATTGTGACACAATCTTCCGTCCTTAAGTCCGCCCTTTCATATTAGCGCATGTAAAATGTCACACTCACTTATTATAAGCGTTAATCTAAGGTATATTCGATTTGTGATTAACTTGATATTAGACATCCACTTGTCAAAATAGGGTATCCGCTAACAACTGTCCGTATCGAAGCCTCAGGTTTACAGCTTTCTTCAAAGGCATTACTTAAAAGATCAAATGAGAGCTTCGTTTTTGGCCCTCGCTAAATCTACATGTTACCTTGGTAAGTGCCACTGAGGAAATAAGAATTGGACTTAAATGAAAGAATTAATAACCCTGTAATCAGACATGGCCTACTGATGGTGAAGAACGCCGCGGGTAAAGACGACGTATCTAATATACTCCATTCGACGGGTATCCCGTCAGGTAATTATAAAGGATTTTACCGCAAAATTGCTGTGAGTTATTATAATACGGTAGTTTTCACTTTTTGCGCGGGTATAGTCTGGTCGGGTACACAGGAAACCAAAATGTGACACCCACAGGCATTTATGTCTGATTTTGGCAACATAGGTATTCTTACTAGCTTGAGTACGCTGATTTTGAAAATATTGTTGCCAAAACTCAGATCTTGTGCTAAGGTGGAGTTTGGGGATTTTCATTATGACGTCATTGTCCAAATGAGGGTTTTTTCTCCTTTAACAATTCCAAATTTAAAAGAGACAGAAATTCTTTTAAACCGTTATTAGTGTTTTAAAAATTATATTCTAAGAATTTCTGACTGTTTTTACGCTGCTTATATTAACATACAGCCATCAAGTGACACTCGACCACGCCCTCTTATAGAAAAATCACCTTATCACTTGTATATTTATCACATTGGTAGTCTTTACACTAGAGCCTAAATAAGCTAAGAAATATTTCAAGAGTAGCAAATTTTAATTACTTCAAGTAAAATAAAGCTTCACACACAACCGATTCTTTTTTACTTCAGGTTAACTTAAGGCTATTTTCCCATGCAACATAATTATGATTGATTGACGTGTTTCGCCTTTCTCAAACCTCAAGGGTGCTTACCATTTGACAGAAAATTTCGGAAATTGCGGATGGATGGTAAATGGTAAGGTCACTTTTCGGAAATTCCAACCAAAAATTGAGGAGTACGTTTTGATCATGAGGTAGTCCGTTCATTCCAGTTGGTACAAACCAAACGCACTGTTGCTTACCATCTACCAATTTCTCGGTTCCAGACGCATTCGCCCCCTTTTTGGATTCAAACCTTAACGGATGTGGCAACTCTACGGTAAACTGGTAAATCGCTTACCATTATGCTTTCGACACCCCAGCCAGATTTTTCTGTCAAATGGTAAACACCCCAAGAAACCGCAAGTAACCGCAAGTCAGCGAAGTCGGTTTTAAGGATGCTTTTCAAGTCGCTTAAAACTTTCTTGAATCGTTTCAACTTTCCAACTTTAATGAAATGCAAAGTAAAGTTACTTGAGATTTTACTTAGGCCTTCACACACGAATTTTTGGTTAAGTAAAACTTAGCAGCTCTTAAGTCTTACTTAACGGCCTAGTGTAAAGACAGCAATTATTTTTTTGTAATGTACTTAGGAATACATATACAACTTTTTGTTTTTCTTGTGCAATGTTGAATCCTAGTTATTTCACAATTCACTTTGGGCCTCAAGCTTGCTAAATGTTTTGTTTTATTTGGGCCTCTTTGTCAACCAGGTACCTGTGTTTCGTGGAAAGTGTCCTTTCCACCTAGTAACGAATGGTTGATGTGAATGTTATTAGTAGTGAACTGCATCAGGAAGTTGTCCGGGTTTAGAACCAGTTAGGACAACGGTGCCATTTATCTCTTTCAAGAACAGACTGTATCTTGCCCCAGTGAGGGGTCCAACTTAAGGATTTGGCTGTTGTAGCTGTATATGGCCCGCCTGGTGCAGTAGATCTACTAACAGCGTTAACTAGGAGCGTACATCATAACTTGTATGATGTAATCCCCCATATCAGTGCTTAAGAATTCGAACAAGTCTCCAACTTTTCTCGTGATGCTTTCCTGTTGATAGATGACTGCGATATGTTTGTATTGGTTTTTTGGGCTAGCTTATTATATCCCGGCCATACGTCAGATAGCTGGAGTATTTGGTTTACGCACTGCAGTATAGTGGCCGAGCTCAAAGCAGATAAAATCATAACGATAACTGCCTGTTGAGATTCCTCTTTCTTTTTGCCAGTCTGGTACTAAGTGCTCAGACACTTTTTGTACCTTCCCGGCCCTTTGCTGCAATGAGATCGCTTACCTCAGCTAGGCGGAATTTTAGTGCATTATCCAGATTAGCCTGAATTTCAGACGATTACTTCGAGTCCTTTTTTACTCTGTTAGCAACGTCTGAATCGACCGGCCGCTAATCCCCTCCAGTGTGACGTCACTACCCGAAAACCGGGTAGTGTTTGATTGGTTGATTCTTGTCCAAACATTCGCAGAATTATGTATAGTTACGAGAAATTTTAGCGGGATTGCTGGGTCGGATGCCTGGCATGTTTGCGTGAAGTTAAAAAAGTTCGAAAGCGAAAATTTCTGGGATTTAAGTCTTTTAATTTCCACCGTCGAGTGTAATGATTCTGTTTAACTTTTTTTTCTTGTTTTTTTTTTCTTCTTCGTTAAGCACCAAATAGCTTCTTTTTTTAAAGCAAATCGTTGTGTTTTTGAAGTGTTCCGTGTGTGTATTTTAATGAGCTTGTTTTATCTGCGTGATTGCGATCGAGTTTGAGTATTGAATTAAACGTACAACTTCGTTCAGAGTACTGCATGCAGTTGACAGTTTAAACGTTAAATATGAATTACATTCAAAAAGAGTAAAGCACTTCTGTATCATGTAGACATTTCCAGACGATATTTCTTTGTTTGCCGGTTGAAAATCGTGTTTTACTTTTTGCATGACTTAGGAATGAGTAGTGACGTCACTGGACGGTATTAGCGGCCAGTCAATTTAGACCCTACTGAGGAAGTAAAAACGACTCGAAGTAATCGTCTGAAATTCAGGTTAAATCGAGATAAGATGATTTAATTGCTGGAACTGAATTGCTTACATTGAATGATGTAAATGATTTGAGCGCCTCTCGGTGTTTTCGAATTTTTGGCAAAGTACAGAAAGACTCCATTGTACAGGTGCGACACTTCTCCTACTACTTCGTGCTACTTGCCCTTTTAATGAAGTGGAGGCCGCCTCGTTGTCAAAAGAAATACTTTTTTTCTGCGTTAGGGGGGATTATTAGGGACCTTAAGACCTAGGACGGCGACGGCAGAAAAAACGTCGCTGAAAAGTGAATTCGCGTTCTTCCAATCTTCATCGAGATTATTGCAAGTCACTAACTTTGTCAAATGTAGGCGAACCCTCCTAAAGTTGAATTCCTAAGAACCATATCCAAGTTCAGTAAGAGAGAGGAAATTTCGACGTCGCTTGTGTACTTCTTCTGTACATCGTGAAATTAGGCATTTTCACGTCGTAGTCGTGCAGTGACGGCAAAGAAATGTACAAAAAAGCGTGATGCACGTGCAAAACTGTTGTTTTGCTAATTAAACCTATTGCTTTTGTTGCGTTCCCGTTGCCGTCGCCGTCGTCAGATCTTAAGGTCCCTATTTAATAGCTTTTCCCACAAAAGCTCAATTTTCACTTTGTGTATGACGTCACGATAACAAATTTCTGTGCCGTTGTGAGGCGAAGTGAGTTATGAGTGGTTAGGTTTTCCACAAGCTGCTCGAGATTTTACAAAACGTTTCCCGTAATTTCTCAAAAGTTGCTCAAAAAACAAAGAAAAGTTGCTTTTTGTAACGAGAGTTGCTTAAAAATTGCTCGAAAAAGAACGAAAACTTTTCTTTGGTCTGATTCTAAAATATGCAACTTGTACAACAAAAGTAAAATTTCTAAGCACTTTGTGCAATTTGCAGCGTAACCAGTGTTGCTAAATAACTTTGTCCTAAAAAAAAACCAAAAAGTCTAACCAGCCAATAAAAATGTTGATATGACCTTCTTCACCCGAGACACAAGTCAGTCGAGTGTCAATCTTCGTCCACCATTTTGAATGTTCTCTAAAAACAGCTGACCTAGCAGCCCGGTTACTTTTATCTTGCGCCCATGATCTGCCCCAGGAGGGAGGATTTGGTTCCATTTTTTTTACAGGAAATTCAGAAATTGTTTAGTTAAACATTGTGAAATATGGAAGAAAGGCCAATTTGAAGCACTAAAAGCTGCTCCGATATCTCAGAATTAGAAGAGAACTCGAGAAGTTGCTCGAAGTACGAGAAGTTGCCAAAAAGTTGCCGAGCAACTTGTGGAAAGCCCTAGGAGTGGTTATATCTCTTACGCTTTCTCTTTTTATTGTCTCTTTATTTTGTTCATCAAAAATTCTTTTCCGTGCCTTTGTGCATCTAGCAGCTTTGCACATTTCTCATCGGTCCTTGTGGAAAGCCACTCCTCAGCGTCTATACTGAGAGAGTCGCTGCAGCTCCTTTTCTTTTTAGATGTCTCCATACTCCTACATTTTATTAAGCAGTCCGCCTATCCTAAACTATTTGAACTTACCTTTCAAAGTTGCCTTGGTCTTGTAACGTATTTAGTGAGAAGAAATGTGCAAGAATGGGAAGGTTTTTCAATAATTGCCAAGAGCACGTGCAATCAAAGAATGGCTTATTTTAATATACTTTTTAATTATCTCAGTAAAATTATCGCGATAAATATCACATCTTTAGCCATAATTGTGTGAAATTTATATCAAAGGGTGTGGTCAATTGTCATGTGACGCCTCGAAATTCGCAGAAACAGCGTTTCATAAATTCTCTAAATGGTCTTTAAAATTGAGACCATTTCTGGATCTATTAAATTTTATAATTAGGGAAGGAAAGAAAACTTCTTTTTTGGACAGTGATGTCATAATGAAATGCCCCAAAACTCCACCTTCACAAAAGCTTGAGATTGGCAACAGTAATTTTCGAAGTCAGCGTACTCGAGTTGGTAAGAATAGCTATTTTACTAAAAATCACACAAAAATGCCCGTGGATGTCACAGTTTGGTGTCCTGTGTAGCAGACTAGTAAACTTTGAGTGAATACTATCATGGCCCATGTATTTTCTCTCCAGGAACCGGTATGATAGACATTCAACATATCCTAAATTTTACAGAATCGTTAATACGTAACAACCAGCCTCCCTAGTTCTTACAGCAGTAACAATTGTTAAGAAGACTGGTCTGGCTCAACTTTACGTTTTATTGCTATTTGCTTTTAAACTGAGCAAGCAATTTACTTACCCCAAGGAATGTCCGTGTAACCTCCAAAAACGTATTTACCCTTTTTTATTATGGTAGCTGTGTCTCTTTTTCCATCGCAGCGTCTGTGAAACTGTGTACGGACATCCCAGCCGTGCAATGTAGCCCGCCAGCACAGTAGCCAGTGGGAATTGTACCCAACCGCAGGCTCCAGAAATTTTCCCAGATGGTACAGATAGGAAGAATTTGTTTTCAATATGTTTGAGTCCATGAACGCTAAAAATAAGAGGGGAGTGACGTAAAGACCTTAAAGATTGCAAAAAGAAGTAGTTTCTTGTGTTTTACATGTTTTATCGCTGCTGTAGCTACCTGGTGTCTTTAAAGATGGTACAAAAAGGACTGACTAAAAACCCTCATCGGTCCCAACGTCAGCTTCTTCCCCGTTGACCCAGAGACACAACGCTTCATTGGGGGTGGGGGTAGACATTGGGGTGCTTTTTTACTTACATAATTCACGTGAATCGATTGTCCTGGCAAGCTCTAAGTTTAAGACATATAACGTTGGTGTTCAGCCACCGAAATGAGACCAGCATTAAAAGCTACTGACAGAAATAAAGCTCATTTAAACACAAAATCAAACGTACAAACGATCATGGTCCAAAATAGCTGGCAGTTAAATTTCGAAGGCTGCAACGTTAATTTGCAGACAGAAAATGACGCTTTTCAACTTGGAATGCAACAATGTTGCGCAATAAGTTAAGCGAAAATATTGCCTGTATTACTTGACCTTAAAGATCATGTCGAAACTTCATGTTCTTATAAAATTGAAACCTAAGGAGTTGCGCAAACCTTTCTCTTTTGACTTGTTTTTTCTTTAACATAGCTATCAAGGAAAAAGGGAAAATATCCGCGATACCAATGATGACGATAATGACAATGATTTCATCATATGACACACCGCGATCACACAGCGGCCTTTTTGATCAGAGGAATCTACAATCTCAATGTACAGAAGATATTTACCTGTGCAATTAACGCCGTTCCAGAAATATCCTGGCTCTCTGCAGATACATAAGAAGGATCCTTTGGTGTTGTGGCATATGGAGCTGCCGTTACAGTTATGTTTTCCTGTTGCACATTCGTTTACGTCTGAAAAACAGGAGGCGTGACTGTTGGATACTATTCAGTTTGCCTTTTTTCTAAACAGTCTAGGTAGTCACTCCGATGATTACAGACGGAATTGATTCCAATCTGAGTCCTATTTCTAGTCCTATTACCACTATTAAATGCTGTTCTAATTATGATTATAACAGTGTAATGGGACAGTGCCTGGGGGTAGTGTCCGTCATATATACCTAAGTTATGGTACAATAATCACGCCATGCCGCGTGATTTCTTCGATGTTGTTGTTGGACTTCAGCTATGTGGTCTCCTGACTGCACTCAGTCCTATTTCCCTTATTAAACTATATAAGTATTATTATTCGATTAATACTATCTTTCAAATTACTATTATTATTATTATTATTATTGTTATCATTATTATTTCTTGCTTTGTGCGCTGACTGATCTCATACCTTTGTACTTACTAAGGGAGCGAGTCATAACCCATAAAAAAACGACCCTTAGATTTCGACTCCTTACTCTAGACCTCTAAAACTTTTCTTAAAATCGTTTCCCTTCCTAGTGGCGTAGTTTTTTGGGGGTAATGAAATACTAATTATTATGTCCAACTTTCCAGCCAGTTCTCCAAGTTCTTCGTCACACTTGCGAATGATCCTACAACAATCTCTATCTCCCGCACAGTTTTCGTGTTCCACATCCTTGGAATTTTTTGTTTAAGCTGCTGATATTTTTTAACCTTTTCAACAATTCTCTTATCCCCTGCTACAGCAATATCGACAATGGCGCACTTTCTCTCCTGTTTGTTTACAACCACATGATCATGTCTATTGTAGCATTGATGACATGATCACATTGGATGTTCATTATCCCACAGTAGTTTAACTTCACCTTTTTTACCCACACTGTCAGCCACGTATTCGTACCACTTATCGTTCTTTTGCACATGTTATTTCTCACATAACTTCCAATAAACTACTTTTGCAATATTGTCATGTCTCTGTTTATATTCCCTTTGGGCTAACTTTTTACATTCACAGACAATATGGTTTACACTCTCGCCACATTGCCTACACAAGGGGGACTCACACCGTCTTGCAGTTAACGTATTATCAGTTACATGGTTGGTCCTGTGAGCCTGTTCCTGGCCTGCACAAATAAGTGCTTCTGTTTGTATCTTCGAGTTTGCTTTTCGTAACCAGCTCCAAGTTTTCTTACATGTGTTGTTCCGGGTATTCCTCATAAAATTGACCATGCAGCTTTTTTTCCTTCCAACTGTCGAGTTTCAGCTCATTGTTCCAAGATGTCTTCAATCAACTTAACTGACAATTTCCTCACTTTCAATACACCTTACCCCTTACACCTTGCAGTAAAACGTCCCAAGAATTCTTTACACACCACCCAAAACTGGTTTACTCACCTCTCACACACCCCTCACAGCATATTAGTCGGTCCGACCTCAATCCTCCCTTGATACATACAACCTATCAACATCTCCTTTTGAATGGAAAGCACCATTCATTGTCAACACCTTTCTCGTCATTTTATCCAATGTTTTCAGTTCTTCGTTTGCCATCTTACCTGCTCCATACTTGATCAGCACTGGCAGCTGCGCATTTGTTAATCGCTATAACCTTATTCTTTCAATTCAATCTTGATTTCAACATTAGTTTCAGCCTTCTTTTTCACTCTCTTGAATTTTTTTTCATCTCGTTTCGTTTATTAAATCAGCCTCAATAATCCCCAAATATTTATACCTTCTTTCACCGATTTCTCCCATTATCCGCCCATACAAAAGTTATACCCTCAAACCTTGCTTTCTTTTCCTTTGTCATTACCAACACAGTAGTGATAGTGGGATGAAATTAAGCCCCGTTGGTGTCGAGTAAGTGTCTAGTAAGGTTGAGGTAAATCATTGATATGCATAAGGGTCGAGTACTTGATGTCACCCATTGTTTTAACCTAGGAAAAAAGTGGGTTCCTTCATACTGATAAGTGTCTTCCTCCACATCTAATGAGCGTCTCTCTAAGACAATAGGAACAATAGGCTGGCCTAGAATTGCCCGGTCTCTTTTAACCCTGATGATTGGCTCATGCAGAAATTATTATCTGTTCAAAATGAAAGCGCTCAGTTGTTGAACACGCTATCGTTACAGAGTGTAACTGAAAAATCTTTAATCATTTCTTTAAATTAACATGACTAAACACAGGATATAAACAAAACTCAAGCACAAAATTCAGGTATTCTATCTCAAGGAGACGACTAACTCTCAGTGCTTAGTGAGCTTATGGCCTTGTCATTTTCACACGTCGTTAGTCAGTTAATTAAGCGAGTTAACAAGCCGACATTTGCTTACAAATTGGCTCAGGTAGACAGTAAAAACCCCAAGAGAGAACCTGGACATATTATTATAAAAACAACAACGAAAAAAAAAAACAGTTAATAACTTAACAACAGAAATGTGGTAGTGGTGGAGGAGGCCGAGGAAAGCAATAGAAATGTGGTTTCATGGCTTCCCAAACCTATATAAACGCGCAACATTCTACCTTTTTCTCAGTCTACATTCTGCTCCTGAGAAGTTGACATGAGTTGGTTCTGTCCCGTTTGCGAAAAATCGTTTAGTAGAAAGAATAGCATGTAAAGGCATGCGATGTCTAAACACCGCAATGCTGGTCTCACCCCATTTCAAACAGTTCCGATGTCTTCACAGAAATGTCAGCGGTTTCGCTTTGAACATTCTTTCACCTCCATGACTGCTGGAATGAGCCAAGTCCGGAAAAGCGGCCTGGGTTCTATCTCTATTAGATCAAGCTTCAGAGGCAATTTACCTTCCCCCAGAGAGGATCGTTTGGTGTTATTCACAATGGCAGCCTGCGTATACAGAGATGCTAGTCGCCGTGCCACACATTGAATTTATCAAGGGAATTCCTACGGCTTTGGAGCAGGATTTCTATTTTGATGTGAACAAACGGAATTTGATCGTGTTTGACGATCAGATGACTTATTTGGTGCTATTCAAGAATCCACGAGACAAATTGCAAATCTTGACTCTGGCAAAGCAAATGTATCCCGGGAAAACTGATTTATTTTTAAATCAGTACAAGGAGACTGTATAAAAAGACCTTTTGGTTATCTGCTGATTAATCTAAAAACTACTACCCAAGATAATTGCCCACTGCGAACAAACCTCCTGTCCAGTGAATAAGGCTTTAACCAAGCAGGGTATGAAGAAAATATACCTTAAGAGCTTTTAAAATACCTACAGCAGCAAAATCTTTCTCCCGTCCTGCTTCTTCCAGCTATGCAAGAAATACAGGGCAACATGGATGATGTGCTTTCTGGAAACAATCTTCGGGTCGATGAAAAAGATAAGCGATACTTTCAGTTGCAAAACAGATATCTGGCTAAAATAAAGAGTTCTCAGCTCCACTTTCTGTGTGTGTGTTTTGTTTATATATCCGAATTTAAGCGCTTAAATTGTAATAGAAAATACAAGCCGTTTCTAGTGTTGCTAGGTGATCTCTTCTCTTGTTCCTATTTTTTTAATAGGCGGTTCGAGCAAACCGGGCTCAAGTTACTTACCGGACAATTCTAGGTAAGGCTATTGTTCCTATTGTATAAGACAGACGCTCACTAGATATGGAGGAGGGCACTTACCAGTATGGAGGAACCCACTTTTTCCCTAGGTTAAAACAATGGGTGACGTCATGGACTCGACTCTTATGCATATCAATGATTTATCTGGACCTTACTCGACACTTACTCGAGGCTTAATTTCATCCCTCTATCACTACTCAACACACTACACTTTTTCAATCCAAACTCCAATCTAATGTCCTTACTAAGCAACTGTACAGTTTGCACCAACGAATCTATTTGATCTTTACTTTTCCGAAACAATTTTAAGTCGTTCACAAAAAAAGAAGATGGTTAATCTTAAATTCTCCGCAAGATCATAACCTGCTGTTGATTTTCTCAACACCAATGTGAATGGAATCGTGCACAAAACAAATAGCCCTCTGAAAAATGCCTCTCCTTCTAATTATAATGACTTCCAACCTCTCGCCTGATGATAATAACTCTACTTCCATGTCTGCATACCATTAATAAAAAAGCCTTTTCACATTCTCAGCTATTTCAAACATCTCCAAATACTTGACAATCCAGCTATGCGGTATCATGTCATATACTACCCGGTAAACACTCAAAGCCAACGCCACAATGTGCCTTTTCTTGCAATTATTTAGAATAGCTTTGTCAATTAACAAGTTGATTGTTTCTCTCAAATTGCCGTTTCTTGAAACTCTCAATAATTACCGAGTATGGTCTGAATAAATTCGGCGCGTAAAACTACTGTTTACTTTTAGAAGTGATATAGTATGTAAAAAGTATAAAAGCGTAGTTAGTACACGTTATAGGGGTTTGCTGGCAGGATTTTGCAAAGTAAACTGGTAGCGAACGCAAAAAATCCGGCCGGATTTTTCATTTTGGCCCTATTCCTTTAGACAGAGGGATAGTTCTCCGTAGCAACTACTACGCTTCAAAAGTGAACCACCTAAAGCAAACCAAGCCTAGCTAGTGGTGGAGTGCGGTCAAGTGGATCGCTGACATGGCTCTCGCTCCTGGCTCAGACCCTTTGTTTGCCAACTTATAGATCGAGGTTCCGCTCTTCTGTCTGACCAATAGATTGCCAGCCAAATCAATTCAGGTTTCCTACAACCTATGGAGTCCTTCCAAAGGCTTGAATTCCTCCTGTCACACAGTGAGGATTTGTCACCGCTGACCCTATCCGAACCCACCGTTTTATCTGCTTTAAAAAGGCTTAACCCTATGAAGGCGGCAGGACTAGATGGGGTAGTGTGGTGAAGGCGTACGCAGGCATCCTTGCTTGCCCAGTTAGCTGTGCAAAAAAGCAGTTTCGCGGAGCAGAGACGGCCATCATCCTGGAAGATGGTGCCTGTCCCCAAGCTAAAACCTGTTATCGACATCAACAAATATCTTCGTCCGATCTCCCTAACCTCCGTTATATCTAAACATGCACAGGACTTTGTCGTCGCTCTTCATTTCGGCCCTGCGGCTCTGGAGGTGACTGATCCAAATCAGTATGGTCGCATCACAGCGTCCTCTACCCCACACGCCCTTACCTACATGGTACATGTACCTGGTTGCAAGCCACCGATGGGTCTGGGGCTGCTGTGAGAGTCGTCCCGTTTGATTACAGGAAGGCCTTCGATCTCAGTGACCACGCCCTACCTGTGCGCAAAGTTTTCGGCCTATCTTTTCCTCGCGCTGTTACCCTCTGGGTGGCCGACTTCTTAACGCATAGACAACAACGCGTAAAGTTGTCTATAGAGACTGTTTTTTATGAATGGGGCCCTGTGCCCGCTGGTGTGCCTCAGGGAACCAAACAAGGCCCATCGTCATTCCTCAGCGGTTTTCAGTGTGGACACATAGAAGCACATTTTGTACGTTGATGATACTTACCAGAGAGATTAAGCACCGCGTTTACGGCAAACGGCAAACGTAAGCAAGTTTCCCCTTCACTAGTCGTTTCGTTCATTATAAATACACGACAATCGGTAGATTCAGGTCAATTTTATCCATAAGAATTGTTTTAAGCTGCTTTTATCTGCTCATTTTAAAAATTTCTCAACTTGAAACTCAAGTTTGCCGTTTGCGGTAAACGCGATGCTTAATCTCTCTACTATTGATGAGTTTGTCCCGCGGGGTGCACAGGGTGACATTCAAAGCGCAGTTAGGAGGACTGGTCACGTGAGCAATGCATGCAACTAAACGCTGACTAATGCAAGGAGATGATCATCGACTTTAAAAATAACAAACATGTCTTCAGCCCTGTTGTGGTCGACGGGAAGGAACTAGCTGTTATAATAGTGCCAAACGTTTAGGTATAACACTGTCGTGTGGACTATTGTAACAGCCTGCTCTTTTTGATATATATCAATGACATGCCCAATTGTTTAGAAAAGGCAAATATTAGAACATTTGCTGATCACACCACTCTCTTCTACTCTTCCAATTCTCTACAGGACCTTGAAAAAACTATAAATGAGGAATTCAACCATCTTCTTAGCTACTGCTTTCTATAAACTTTAAGAAAACCCACTATATGGCAATCTCCTCCCCCCAAGAAGCAAATAAACTTAAGCTTAACTTACGCAATATTGAAGAAAAGAACTACATCAAATACCTAGGTGTCTGCATTGACAAAAATCTAAATTGGGCTCCCCACATTCAGCACATTAACAGCAAAATATCTAAAAACTTGGGAATCCTTTTCAGATTACGCCATTTCTTAACTTTAAACACCCTCAAACAAATATATTACTCACTTATCTAGCCCTACCTTCATTATGGAATTATGAGATGGGGAAACACATACCCAAGTAGATTAACTAAGTTCAAACAAAACAAAATAAATGTATACGCTGCATACTTTTTAGCCATAAGAGAGAAAGTAGTGCACCCTACCTCAAACTTCTAGATATACTTAACATAGATAGCATTTTTGAACTCAAAATCTCCTTGCTAGCTCACAAAATCTCACAAAATGAAGCCAATATCCCTGAAGTGTTTCAAAACTACCTCGTAAAGGTGTCTGATATTCACTCACACAATACCAGATATGCCTCAAATCTTAACTTTCATGTACCACGTGTAAGGTCAAATTACGGCAAACACACATTTAAGTTTGCCATAACCAAAACTTGGGAAGAGATTCCTACTAAGATAAAAACACTTAGCTACCATAAGTTCAAAAAAGAATATAAGCGAATTCTAGTTAACTCTCAAAGGTAACAATTGTAATTTGACTGTCTCACATAACCTGACTGCTGGCATAATCGTCCATAGTTGCCATGGCACCAAGCGCACGTTTATTACGTATTTCCAATCATAATATAGCGATGGTTAGCTCGAAAGCTAAGCTCCTCTGACCACCGTACACTTCTACCCAAGCCATTAATTTTCTTTTTTTTCTTCTTCTTCTCCTTTATTAGTGTATTCCTACCTTACTATATATAATGTAAATATTTTATAAAGTGTGAATAATAAAATTGAACTGAATTGAATTGAATTGTGGCCTGCCAGCCTACCAACTTAATGAGATACAGAGGGGCCAAAATGCTGCCGCTAGGTTAATTTTCCAGGAATCTAAATACTGCCACGTAAGACCGATGCTGTATAATCTGCATTGGTTGCCGGTTAAATTCAAAATTGACTTTAAGATACTACTGTTAACGTAAAAGGCTATCACTGGCTTAGCACCTTTTTATCTCCAGGAACGTATTAATCTTAAAGAAGCATGTAAATACAATTTACTCTCCGATTGTGATGGACTGCTACTAAACCCTGTGAAATCAAGACTTTAACAACGTTAGGAGATCGATCTTTTGCTGCTGCTGCTCCTCAACTATGGAATTCATGGCCCTATGCGATTAGGAGTAGCCCCTCAGTAGCATCTTTTCAAAAGACACTCAAGACATTTTTATTTCAGAAAGCTTTTTTGTAATTTTATGTGCTTTTTAATCTCTTTTTTAGTAGGTTTTATGCAGTTTTTTACCATTTAAGTAGAGTAAGTAATTTCTATAGTTTTAGTGTTGACATAATTGTTTTAACTCTTTTTGGTAGGTTCATTCACTTTGTATATTTTATGCAGTCCTAGTAATTTTTTTTTTAATATTTTTATTTTTAAGCGCTGATGAAAATAGCAATATTGATATCGGCGCTGTATAAGTTTTATTATTATTATTATTATTATTATTATTATTATTCTTTCCATTCCTTGTAGACTCAGGCAGGATGTTCGGCCTGGTTTATAGTCCTTGGAAGTAGGTTACAACAATTCACCACGGCTCCCAGGTCTCTCTTTTCCTTCTCCGTACAGGGACAGTACTTTCCTTAGTATCTTTGCTGTCCCTAACAATGCTGTTTTCTGGATAACTTCCAACCTCATGTTCACGCCGATTCTCTTCATGTACTCCTTAAAGTTGAAGTGAATCGGCGAGAACGTTATCCAGCAAACAGCATTGTTGGGGATAGCAAAGATACTAAGGAAAGTACTGTCCCTATTATTATTATTATTGTCGCTATGAACCGACCCTGAGTGGGATAGTTGTTTTATTATTTACCAAATCAGTTGGATAAAAATCACTTAGTTCGAGTTTGTTTACGTTTTAATTTACAATGTTTCGGGGATCATTTGCTATGATTTTGTTCCAAATTCAGGAAGAAAATTCTTTTCTAGCGACTAGTAAACACCGACAAGCCAAATGTTTTCTCTTTCTTGGTATTTGTTGGTGCAGCTGCTTCATTTACCGCTAAAATTTCATCTTTCGAAGCTGTCGGGAAACGAGAAGCAGAATCCCGTCATGAACAAATGAAACAGTGAATATCCAAGGATATTCCTAGTTACGGGAGCCAATCAGAACGCCCGAAAATTGCTATCCACTGATTTGGTGAATACTAAATGAAACTATTAAGAAAGCAAATAAGCGTTTGCATTTTTTGGTTCAGCTTGAGCTGTAAAGATATTGTTAACTTCCACTGTACAGTAATGAGACCCGTTCTAGAATATTGCTCGTCCATTTTCCACCATAGCCTACCCGACAGTCTAAGTGAGCGTGTACAAAAAAGAGCGCTCTCCATAATAGCGCCTGATAAATCATACAAACACTGTTAAGTCAGTTTTGGTCTCAGCACTTTATATGATAGGCGTAACGATGAGTGTATTAAGCAGTTTAATAGTATATCCTCGGATCAGGACAAATTCGCTTGCCTGCTTTCTCCGAACCACCAAAGCTACTACACAAAACAGACAAACAAACCGCTGCAAAAATTCGTTCAAACCAGCCATGTGCGGTCGTCCAAACATGTTATTATAAAATAAGATTAAGTGTTATTGCGTTTTTTTTCCTTTTTTTTTCAGTTCTTCATTATCATTATTCCTAATTAACAAAATTGAAATTAGTCTTTTACCATTATTTTATACTTTTTTATTGTATTGTAAATAATTAAACAATTCAGCCTTCAGCCGGTTGCGATTTGATTATTTTATTATCTATGATCTATCTTTACTGGGAGAAGTAACGCTTTCAGTGGATTGATCAGATGTACTAAACTTCGATCAAGCTGGATTGAGTCACCGCAAGATGGAGGATAACATCTTCTTCGCTCTACATAATTCTTCACATGCAGCCTACTCAGCCTCATTTAGTAATTGCTAAATAATTATGACAATGATCACTTTGTCGATCAAAGGCTTGACTTCAAACTCTTATTTGTACATTTGGAAATGTCTCTTTTGAATTCTACTCAGGGACTCAAACGCGTGAACTCGAGACAATATAATACTGAATTAAAAGCCTTAACATTAAGACGATCCAGGTCTTTACTGAAATATAATCACCTGTACAGTTAACTCCGTTCCCCGAATACCCTGGCTTGCAAGTGCACTCGAAAGATCCTTCAGTGTCATTGCAGTCTGCATTGGCATCACAGTTGTGCTCTCCTGTTATACACTCGTTTACCTCTGCAAATCAGATGCAGGACTAAATCATCAAAACTGATTTACTTAACCTTTTATTTTCTAGGTTTGGGTACGATCAGAAGAGAGAAGGAGCGAGAGATTTCTGGCTATACTGAAAAGCAAAAACATTTTTGCTATACATATTGAGCAGGTGAGAAATTCAGAAATGACATCAAGTGTATAGATAGAGGATTCGCGACACCTAAGGAAGCAAGATATTAGAGAATGCAGAATGACTTCCTCTCTAAAGAAAAATTGCCAACAGAAGGAGGGATAAAAAGGAAACGTTTTCGCTCATACTCTAAAGACGGAATTTTGTACATTGGTCTGATATAATTAAATGTAGTAAGCTTAAGCTCACCCAGCGTGAATGCGTGTTCGGACATGACAATCTTGCATGGGAACAATATAATAATACATAAAAAACTTAAATATCTCAAGCATGTATAAGGCTAAAATTGCATACAGATACTGCAAATCACAAACTTTTATAATGCAGGAGCGTTTCCATACTTATTCAGCTTAAAAGAACAAACTGCACTACCAGAGACTAACCCGCATACTACCTTGTGGCTGAACCCCGGGGGGGCGACTCCGCATATGAAAGTGGTGGGGATGCTCGTCGTCTCGCTTATGGGTGTAAATCTCGGATTTTTGTCTCACTTAAGGTGTTCTGGGCAGAACGCCATCATATTTAGCCGTGAAGTTTTCGTTTAGGGTTGCACGCCAAAAAATATAAAAATATATATGTTGTCTGTGCTTTAACATGGTCTCTTTTAGGGGTCAAAAAAAGCTTGGGCCCCGCCCAGATCGGTCTCCTTTAGGGGTTTAATTCAAAATTTCTTACAAGCATCCCCACCCCTTTCATATGCGGAGTCCCCCCCCCCCCGGGGGGCTGAACTTGGCTCTAATGCGAGATAAATGGAGCTGATTAGAAAAATATTCATTATAAAGAAGACCGAAGTATTGTTTTAACCTGTGCAGTTAACTCCATCCCCAGAATACCCTGGCTTGCAGGTGCACACAAAGGATCCTTTAGTGTTTTTGCAACTGGCGTTTGCATAACAGTTATGCTTTCCTACTTCACATTCATTTATATCTGCAAAAAAGAAGTCAGGCACTGAATGATTAAAACTGATTTCCTCTTTCTTTCACAGCAATTATTGTGGCCTACCATAATAGCCATTTCATGCGATCAATTTTCATTTCAAAACGAGGTCAATCCTCAAACCTTTCTCCTTTGAAATTAATTTTCATATCAAAAGGCTTCGCACTTCGCCTCGTTTTAAGACAGAAGCTCGAGCCAAACTCGAAAATGGGTTATTAGAATTACAATATACCTGACTTATTAAAGGAACTTAATGCTCTGCGATCAGTACTAGTAAAAGGTATTATGGAAAATAACGAGACTTAAATTAAGGCGGATTTAGTGAAAAACCACTTTGGAACAGGAGAAATTGATTTGAAAGAGACGTGGTTACGAAATATCTGAGTGTTTCAATTAAGGGATTTGAAGTGTTACCTGTACATTTATCTTCTCCATTTTTAGTATAACCTTCCCAGCAAGCGCATCCGAAGGATCCTATAGTGTTGTAGCACACTGAACTAGTAACGTCACAGTTGTGTTTTCCTGTGTTACACTCGTTTATGTCTGGAAATCAAGATTTAATGCTGAATTATCTAACTGAATCGGTTCTATTTTAGATTTATATCTATTGAATGAGAGATAGCAATGCAATGCTTTCGAGACTGGTAGTCTACGAATAAATAAATCAGTTTTTAAAATAAGGCAATTGCAAGGAACACTAATTCAGTTGATGGCACCTATAACAACAGTAAAATGGGAGATAAAATCAGTGACAAATGATTATTCAAAGTTTTAAATGTGCCAAGTTATGTTATTTACGACGAATGATCCCGCTAAGAATAAGAAATAACTATTTTGACGGCACGAAATACCACAGAACCTGGGTGTTAGGCCAGGGGCTATAGCTAGTTCATATTAAGTTCTTTCTTTTCCAATATTTTCTCCAGTTCCTCAATCTTTCAGTGATTCAATTCTGCACATATCCGTTTTTTTCTTTTCTTTTCTTTGTTTATTTGTTTGTTTGTTTGTTTTTTACATTGTTTTCTCCTTGTGCCTCCATGAAGGAACCTCTTAAACATTCTTAATTAATCTATAATGTCTCCTAGCTAGATAAGCTTTTTAGCTATAGGACGCTTGTACCTTACATAAGTAGTATTCTCTTTTGCTAAATAAATGTCTTTTTCTGTGTGGTATAAATAAAGTTCTTTTCTTGTCTTGCCTTTTCCATACCGGGAGTATAAAAGGCTACGTATATATATCGCGTGTACGTCATCTCGGCTTCTGAAACAACCTTCTTTTGTTTTCTTAATGTTTTTGTTTATTTTAGGAGCGGCCTATTTCGATTAACTTGTAGTCCCGTAGAAACGTCTTTTAGCTTGAGGCTTGGTTCTTTTCCAGATTTCCCGCCCGCACTTTTTCCCTTCGTGGATTTTTGGGCATGTTTTCTTTTCTGGCCTCTGTCTGACCGCATTTATTTCTGTTGGCAGCTCACCTCTGCCAGTTTTTTGAATTTTAGAATTTTTTCTTATTTTTTTTTTGTACGGTTAGCGCCGTTTTTCACCTATTTCTTATCTTATGTATTTAGTCTCAATGTATGCTTAGAACTACTGTCCCGGGACCGCTATTAAGGTGGCCCGAACCTATTTATATGCGTGTTGGTTATGTTTTGAATCGTGTGTTTCGGAAGGAAAGATTTAACTGATTTCTATGATTTTTGGCATCCTTAATAAAGAATAGTCGAACTTTAAGAACTTGTTATTTATTTTCTTGTAGGTATAAAAACCTTTGAGACATCCACATGCGTTTAAAACCGCATTTTTCTCTAACTTTAGCAAATAAGCCTCAGAGCTCTTTAGTTTTATATCTGCAATTTTGAAGTCAATCGTGACCGTAGAACTCACTGCACAAATACCTGGTCAAATTTAGTCTTAAAATTTAACGCTAACACATTTGTGAAAGTTGACGCTCAAATAGAGGAAAGCTGCCGACCGACTCCTATCTCCTATCTGCAATGATATTTTTGCCCAAAAGTTTAGCTGCAAGAACTGACTGAGTAACCAGAAACCTACGGCGAATACAGTTCGCAATGCAAGAAGAACAAGTTTATGCTGAACGCGGGCAAGATTAAAGAACTTCCATTCATCAAACTTACTTTGTATTTGACCCTCTCTTTTCGAAACCTATCTTAACCAGGCAAAATATAGCATCTACGAAAACACAGTTTTTAGCGTCGCAGGTTTCCGTTTTGAGGAGAAATAAAGCCAACAACTCCAGTACTTCTAACCGTCCATTTTTCAGCTGCACTGAAAGCCATATTGTACTTGGTAATTTATTCAAGCTGTTTAGAATTGACACCACATTTGCACTGGAAGTTTGCCGCTTGGGGATAAAGATCAAGAAAATATGACAATCGTCTTATACTTTTCATTATCCCCAGTGGCAAACTTTCTTTACGAATGTGATGGCAAATCTTACAAGCTTAGATAAATTACTTAATACTTGGGCTTTCGTTGCAGCTGAAATTGGATCGGTTGAATTACTGGAGTTGGTGGCTCTATTTCTCCTCAAGACGGGTACCTTCGGTACCAAAAACTGGTAACTAGTTGTTCGTAGATGCTATTATCCAACTTAAAAGAACAAACTGCAGCTCTAGAGACTAAGCTGCAGACAACCTTGCGGCTGAACTTCTGGCTTTAATGCGAGATAAATGGAGCTGATTAGAAAAATATTCATTATAAAGAAGACCGAGGTATTGTTTTCACCTGTGCAGTTAACTCCATCCCCAGAATACCCTGGCTTGCAGGTGCACACAAAGGATCCTTTAGTGTTTTTGCAACTGGCGTTTGCATGACAGTTGTGCTTTCCTGTTTCACACTCATTTTCATCTGCAATTCAAAAGTCAGGCGCTGAATCAAAAAACTGATTTAGTTTTCTTTTCTTTTATTCCAAGTAACTTTGGCCTACCATGATATCTGCCTCATTATAGGAAATTAAAGCTTTATGATATTACGTTGTTGGAAATTGACGCGACTTAAAATTAATTGGACTTTAGTGAAAACGGTTTCAAAGGAGGAAATCAGAGGAAATCATAATGCAAAAGAGGTTGTTTTGTTTTGTTTGTTTTTTTTTGGTACGATTTTCATTGACCTCTCAGGCAGGCGCTAACTCTCTTCATGCGTGTCTCTCTCGCGCGCTCCGACCTTCCTTGAGCCCATCCCACTTTCTAGAGTCATTGCTAGTTCCAGGTAACATCTGTTACTTAATATAAAAAGTTAGCCTTCCACACAGGCATTTTTAGGAGAGTGGCATTCCTTCCTTCCTCTTGTGGGGAGGAACTATATATATGACTCACCTAATAACGTCTGCGTGGGAGGCTAATTATGATATAGGGAGTTTATAAGCAAAGGCATTGGGCAACGCACCCTAGGCAACTCACGTCAACCAGTTGTTGTCTATCTTAATTCTTGTTCGGTAGTTTCCGTAATACAAATTTGGTAGTTTTTATGTATATTAAAAGGAATATGGGTCAGTACCTCCAGTTGGCGTGCGTCGCTCAAAGAAAACCCGTGTTAACTTAAAGCGCCAAAAAAGCTTAAAATAGAAAATTGTAAGGACGCTAACGTAACATAAACAAAAGACGTGACAACGAAGCATCTGAATGTTTCAATTAAGAGATCTTAAAGTGGATGTTACCTGTACATTTATGTTGTCCACTTTTAAAATACCCTTTTTGACAGTAACACTCGAAGGATCCTTTAGTGTTAACGCACAATGAAATAGCTTCATCACATTGGTGTTTTTCTGTATTACACTCGTCTACGTCTGGAAATAAATAAGGCTAAATTATCAGACTGACCAAGTTGGATTTTTATTCCTATCGAATGAGGGATAGTAGTGCAATGCATTCGAACGGTAACCCTGAAATGTTCTACCCTTGAATCAATTTTTCCAAAACAAATTCTGTCAATGGCAATGAGCACTTATTTTGTATATTTTGTTTTATGCTACTAAATATAACAACATGTCACTTACATAAATACGAAACCAGTTTGCAGCTTTCTTATTGGCTTTTTTCTTATTTCTGCTGCGATGGCGTACAACTAAAGTTTAGATCCTGTAAGTTCACGCTGCGTATGTAGCTTTGTTACCTGCACAGTTGACACCATCCCCAGAATATCCTCGTTTGCAAGTACACGTGAAGGAACGCTTGGTGTTGGTGCAGTATGCATCATCGTGGCAGTTATGTAGTCCTGTTTCACACTCGTCTAAAAGCAAGTAGAAGTTACTTATAAGAATTTCGTTCTTCCTTTACCTGTAAAGTTAGTTTTCACACTTTAAGTTAGCTTAATGTTTTGATTATTTATATTTGCAACAATGTTTGAGCTCAAACAACTGAGACCATGATCTCCTGATTCAAATTGTTATAAACTATGACAAATATATATTTGTTGACGTACTTTCAACAGGAATCCTACTGAGAAAACGTTGGTCTCAATACTCCAATCAAGAAACTTGCATGCCTTAGGGCCCCTTGTCGTATCGTGTTGCCAGGCTACGTGGTTGCTATGCAAGTGAAGTTGAACTTCTGGTCTTAGTATTTCGCGTGCTTTTGGACTGACGTCCGCGCGGGATAAATGTCAGTTTACGCAACAGGATGGCAGGAAGAAGAGGACGCTAAGACGCTTGTGCGTGACAAAAGTGACAGGACTATTACGTACGTGTTTTGTCGTGATATTCACCTAACATTAACGTTTACTAGTCTTTACAAAAAAAATCCTTTTAAAGGAGAGTGAAGTTTGGCGAAAAGTTGTTTCAAACAAAATTATTGTCACGCTTGTTACACAAGGTTTGCCGTCTTCT